CTTCCACAGAGCGGCAGCGGGTTTCAACTGCCCACCCTGTGGTTGGTTGGATAGTTAGCAGCCAAAGATGTGCCCCGTTCCACCACCCGGGGCAGATCGCAAAGGAGGAATGCTCAGGGTACGAGAGCTTGATGCCAAGACGGCTGCATGAAGCCAGGGAGGCAGGCCAGGGCAGGTGGGCACAGCATCCTAGCATGCACCACGAGCCCGAGGGCCCACGAGACCCTTGGGTGCCAGCCCCCTGGGCTAGGCCTGCTGGAGGGCCTGAACTGAAATGGACCCTCGGGGACAAGGGAAGAATTTGCCTGGCTTCTCCACTGTCTCCTAGGGCTTCTGTGCAGGGGACTGGAGGTGGGGAGAAGAGAGCCCGTCTGGGAAGGAGCTTCGAAAAGGAAAGAGTCTTTTCATTCTCTGACTTCAGGGCCCTGCAAAAGGCCCCCTGGACATTGTCTTTCCTCAAAGCTGCTCTCTCCCTGGGTCTGGCCCTCTTAATTTGTGTGTGCAGTCGACTTATTCAAACGATGACCACAGAGCCAGGGGCCAGGGGGACCCAGTGGTGAGCAGACACGGCCCCTGCCCTCGAGGAGCTTAGGAAGCCAGTCAGTGGGACTCTATCTCCACAGTAATAATAATAATAATAATGAACCCGGTGGGAGGAAAGGGGTATGAGTGGGGTGGACAGGAACATCCAGGGGATCTCTGCTCCCCGTAGGGAGAGGAGGGAGGGCGTCCACAAGAAATCAGCATTTGAACTACAGCCTCCGAGATGATGAGGTGAGCAAGACGAGACCCTGGGCCACCAGTGGGCATTGCAAAGCGGCTGGCTTTCGAGGGCAGCTTCTGAGGAGCAGCGAGAGGCCAGTGGGGGCTAGGCCATGGCAGGCCTCGGGGGCCCTCATCAATATTGATCTTCACCCCCAGGCTTGGATTTGCCCCTTCTGGAGGGTTCTTTTGGCTGCAGGGCGGAGAACAGACTGGGGGCTACAGAGGATACTCTGAGCATCAGCCCTTGGTCCATTCACCTGGGCCACCTCCATGGGAGCCTGCCCTATGATCCCTAAGGTGACCAGGCTCTGCTTCCCAGAGCTCGGTTCGCATGAGCTCCTGGTCCCAACCAAACTGCTCACTCTGCCTCATGCGTCCCAGAGCTTGGCACCAGCTGTTCTCAGCCCGGAATACAAATCTTGTCCCCTTTGAGCCTCAGCTCCACCCACCAGCAGCACCCCTCACAGAGGGCTTCTCACACATGTCCTGGCCCCCCACGGCTCCTCGCCCTTCCCACACGTCACCCAGACCGGCTGTGCCTGGCTTTCTCTCTCCTGCAAGACCGGGTCCTCCCCAGTCAGGGACAGGGGCTGATTCGAGGGGAGGTCTCCAGGGCCCTTCCCAGAGCAAGCAGGCCTGGAGTGTGATCAAGTCACCCTGACTTGAGGGGGGCGATGCCTCCACCTCCGGATGACCCTCCCAGTGGACTCGCTCGCTGGGCCGTGTTCTCTTCAAGGAAACCTCACCCTTGCACTCAGGGCTGGGCTCACAGGCCACTCTGTCGTGCAGCGTCACCCTCAGTGGGCCCACCGCAGAAGCACGCCACACAGGCTGCTCCCGACAGACACTTGTCCAGCAGAGAACCACGAATTTGAAAAGCGCTAGAATCAATTCTCGCCACTTACACGCCAGAAGAGTTCACAGGAAGAAAAAAAAAATCCCAATTTCTGGCTCCTTTTGAAATAAATACCCAAACAAACACCCCGACTGGCCACATGGAGCCTGCGTTTCCCCTGGTGCCCATTACTGTCCCCTGTGGAGGGGGCGCTCAGACAATGCCCGGCCAGCATCTCCTGAGACGTTCTCTCCATCCTGTCGGCTTATTTTGTGTTTCGTGACACAATGACCTTCTGTGCCCCCGTTTCTCCTCTTCCCTCAGCTCCTACCACACGGCCCAGCACTAGCCGGGAATGAACGGATGGACAAGAAACAGGTCTGCCACTGAGCTGATGCAGGCTCACAGTGTGCCAATGTACAGTTTCGGCAGCTATCGGTTTTTAAGGGAGCAGGCAAGCCTCATTCTCCTCCAGCAGCTCGGCCGGTGGGTTTGAACCGCTGATCTGGTGGTTCGTGGCCCAACGTTGCCCCGATGGTGCTATCAAGAAACACCCCAAACCACTGCCAACGCTGATGCACACTACACCTTCCGGACAGGGTAGATGGGTCTCACTGGGTTCCCACGGCTAAAGCGTCCTCCCCTGGAGTCCTTACGTGAATTTGAACCAGCGGTCTTGCTCAGTTAGCAGCCCAGCACTTAAACCACTGCATCACCGGGCACTCTGGTTCATGCTCTCAACCTTCTACTGCTCCTTGTGAGTCCCCCAAAACCTTCCAGGCCACCCCACACACATACACACACCCCGCCTGCAGGCGAGCCAGCAGGGACCACACCTGGTTTGGTGTCGGGCGGAGGCAGCAGCAGCTCCCGGAGCTGGGAGTCTTTGACGTCCTCGATCCAGCGGAGGTCCAGGAGCCTGAGGGCCGGCAGCGGGGCAGAGCCCAGGGCGGACACCGAGAGCCAGGAGCAGCCGGAGAGCACCAGCTCCTGCAGGCCTTGGGGAGCAGGATGTGGGGGGCTGCTGGGAGGGCTCGGTCCCGGAACCATGCCCCTCCCGACCCTGCCCCAGTTGGCAGGTGGGTCCTACCTTGCAGTCGGTTCAGGAGCCACATGAGCTGCTTCTTGGAGACACCTGTCCAGCTGAGGTCCAGGGCCCGGGGTTGGCGCCGAACAACACCACTGAGCATGGGCGGGGTCAGCGACTTTCGCCGGCTCAGGTCCATGCGAGGCCATAGACGCTTGTCATAGCACCTGTTGGCCGCAAGGTGGAGACAGAGACCTCGGGGCTCAGCTGGGGATGGGGGAGTGGTGGGCTCCTACACCTTCCCACACCTCAGCAGTTCAGCCCAGCTCTCCCCAGGACTAGCCCCCGGGGCGGGGTGGTGGTGGTGGTATAGGGTATACTGGAGAGCCCTGGGTTTGGGGCCCAGCTCCCATCACCCCCTGGACACGAGACCCTGGGCAAGTCGATTCCTCTCCCTGAGCCCAATTCCGCCTTTATAAAATGGAGATAATGATTCTGACTCTGCCTGCCTCACGGAGCTGCTGAAAGATCAAATGAGCTAATTATAGTTCGCGGGCCTTATAGCTTATAAAGCATTTGGCCAAATGCACCAAACACCCTACACACTATTTGATGTAACACCAAAGGGATTGGCCAGTCGCCCCGCCCTTCCCCTGGGGTTTCTCGACTCCCCTAGGCTAAGGACGGGAGTCGCTGGCATTGCCCACCTCTCCACTCTTCTTGGGCCCTTGATGCCCATTCATGGGCCCCATCTGGCCAGCCCTTGACCGACAGTCCCAGTGCTTTACGGCTTCCGGTATTGTGTCTCTCCAACTAGGAAGCATGTGCCACAAGGACAGGGCTGTCTGTCCGTCTCTCACTTCTGTGTTCCCAGCACCTATCGGCGTCATCGGTTAAGCGCTGGACTGCTAACTGCCGGCTAGGTGGCTTCTTGGGAGAAAGATGAGGCAGTTGGCTCCCGTAAAGATCTTCTCCAACCTCGGAAACCCTAACGTAGGGTCGCCATGACTCGGAATCAACCTGATGGCAGTGGGTTCGAGTGTGGCTCTTAGCCTGGTGCACAGTAAGTTCTTTCGCTGCCCCATGGGTTGGTTGGTTGAATGAATGAACAGTGCCAAGCCAGTATGAAGGACTTGAAGCGTCTGTGCCCCAGCCCCTCGGTACACCTGGTTTTCCACTTTTCATCTGTTCACTCACTCGGTGCTTGTGGAAGACCTGGTTCCTGGTCTTCAAGACAAAGGAGGCCGGAGAGCTACCGGTCTCCTGGTCTCGCCTTTCCTGGAGCCGTGTGTCGAGACCCCCACCCCCACGGCATCTTACCTGGAAGCCCCCCTTCCCCACCCTCCTGCCAGCGTCACATTGGAACACTCTGTGGGACCCCAAATTCCCCAAGACTCAGCTTGAGAGGCGCTAGTACGGAAGCTCTGGAAGGGCACCCAGGAGCACCCCAGGGAACTGGAAGACCCTTAGAGGCCCCTGGCGGCCTTACTTCCCACCTCCCTCCCAGGAGGCCAAAGCGTACTGTCCCCCAGAAGCCTTGGGCTGCGCTGCACGATCTCACTGAGAACTGCTCTTGCAGACAGCTGTGCACCTGGAACCAGTGTGGCCTCACGGAAGTCAAACCCACTGTCACCAGTCAATGCCGATTCACAGCGACCCTAGACGCAGGGTTTCCCGGCTGGAAATCTGTACGGGAGCGGACAGCCTCAGTTGTCTCCCCTGGAGTGGCTGGTGGGTTTGAACTGATGGCCTTGTGGTTAGCAAGCAGTCTAACATGTACCCGACAGCACCACCAGAGCATTCCTAACCTTAAGAAGAAACACAGCACGTATGACCAGGGAGAACACAGTGCAGTGGATGGCAGGGGTTCATGTAACTGATGTCACTGACGTGTACAGGTGAAAAACAGGCAACAGGCACCTCTCGTGTTCCATGTGACAGACACAGACACACGAAGCCAGCAGAACACACAGACATGACAAGGCCAGACGGGTTATTAAACCCTCGCCAGTCACTGCCGTGGCTCCTGGCTAGTACCTAAAGCCTCTCTCTGTCAGACAGACAAGCAAGCGTCCTATGTGGCGGTGGGGTTGTGCGGTCGAGTGGATTGGCTGGCTCCGGGGTGTGCTTTCGGCTGCCACCCTTCCAGGAGCAAGCTGTCAGGTGTGCCACAGGGGAGGGCGCGACCCCAGTGCCAGCATGCCCAACGGGGAAACTTCCTTTTCTGAACGCACAGAAAGGTGAAGCCAAGCTTCAACGTTACCAGGC